ATTACCATTCTGAAAGGAATTGCCACAGCTAGCACTTCTTCTCCACCCCATATGCTATGCACGATATGTGGAGAAATTCCGAATAGAAACAGCCCTTCCGTGAAATTTAATGCGACAAGCGGAATGGAGGGCAACGTCGTTACATCGTACAATTTTCAAACGATGCTTCGATAATTGAAGCCACGACTTCCAAAACGTCACAAATTCACCAACCATCTGAGAAAAACAGTATCTTTTGTGCATCTTCCCTAATTCGTCATTAATCTTCTCCTGAAAATTGTTTATAGATATACTTTTGTTGTGTATTTTTAACGTTATCGGTTAACCAGTCATTTTTTGTACAAAGTGTTGTAAATCCATGGACTTCTGTTGGTTTGAATATCACAACATTTTTAATTTATTCATAAAATAATGTTTGTGCTCTTCTTATGAGACTTGTATTTTTTTGCACAAATTCACCATGTCGAAAATTCAGGATCTGCGTGTTTTGAAGTAAAATAAAACTTTATTTTGAGATCAATTGATTAATATTTCAAACATATTTCATAGAATTAGAGACTTTAGTTGTCAGTCGACCCCCGTATAACTATACACTAAACACTTCAATCGCCACAAATTAGATAAGAATAATAGACGCTTGAAATGCACGAAAACGTATAATTCCATAGTCATTTACGATAGTAAAAAAGACAGTAACACTTTGACACTTGAAAGCAGTTTCATTCGTAATTTCTTTCTTAAAACACAAATGGTACTGTCTCATATTACACCCTATTTTCTAGATATCCGATTTTACGAGGTCTGTTAAAAAAATAACCGAACTTTTTTAGTTATGTGTTTGTGTATCGTCATTGCAACGAACAGTTGGCAGCACTGCAATTGTCATAATCTTCCGCGTAACTGACTTTTTCTACAAATTGTTTACATCTTGTTTAGTTTCCGAGTTATTGCTATTTGAGTTCAACGTGCTTCACTGTTCGTGGCGATTTTCGCAATGTCCGAGTTACGAGAGCAGCGATGCAACGTGAAATTTTGCGTAAAACTGGAGAAAAAATTCACGGAATCGTTCCAACTTTTGAAGCAAGCTTAAGGAAGTGATGCTTTTTCTCGTAAGCAGTGTTATGAATGATTTACCAGATTTAAAAATGGTCGTCAATCAATTGAAGATGATCGTCGATCAGGAAGGCCTTCGACCTCAACTGATGACATTCACATTCAGAAAATCAAAGATCTTGTGTGTATTAACCGTCGTCTGACTATCAGAGAACTTGCAGAAGAGGTTGGATTATCAATTGGGTCATGTCATGAGATTTTGACCGAAAAATTAAACATGCATCGAGTTGCAGCAAAGTTTGTTCCTCGTTTGATGACCGAAGTGCAGAAGGAACATCGAGTGAACGTTTGCCAGGAACTCCTTAAAAAAGCCGACGATGATGAAACATTCATTCAAAGGATCATCACGGGGGATGAGAGTTGGGTTTATGGATACGACATTGAGACGAAAGTCCAGTCATCACAGTGGGTTAACAAAGGATCTCCACACCCAAAAAAAGCACAAGTTCGGTCCTCTGTCAAGGTGATGCTCACTGTTTTTTTCGATTTCATCGAAATTGTACATTTTGAATTTTTGCCTCAAGGTCAAACAATCAACGCTCAGTACTATGAAGGCGTTTTAAAAAGGTTGCGAGAAAAAATTCGCAAAAAGAGACCACAGTTGTGGCGAGACAACTCATGGTTCTTTCACCATGACAATGCGCCTGCTCACTCAGCCTTGTTAATTCGCCAGTTTTGTGACAAAAATCAAGTTACTGTCCTCCCCCAACCTCCCTATTCCCCAGACCTTGCTCCCTGCGACTTTTTCTTGTTCCCAAAATTAAAATCAGTGCTGAAAGGACGCCGTTTTGACTCAATTGAGGACATTAAGAAAAATTCGTCACAGGCATTGAAGGATGTTCCAAAACAAGCTTTCCAGAAATGCACCGTAAAATAGAAACATCGCTGGAACAAGTATTTTGAAGAAGACAAAGAGCAATAAGTTGTACATTAAATAAAAAAAATTTTTTTAAAATAGTTCGATTATTTTTTTAACAGACCTCGTACATCAGTTTAAAAAAAAATTGTGCAAAAAAATACACAACAAAAACCGTATGTTCTAAGCTATTCTAAAACTCTTTAAATAAAAAGATACGATAAGCATTCCACGTTCTTATCTCTTCCTTAACGTTCATATTTCTACAAACGCGAGGGTGTGTACGAACGGATTAATGAGACACTGCAAGTTCAATAACGTCCCGATAATCGATCATTGACAGAACGACGTTCGAATACGAAACATTCGAAGATTATTCGTAGCATTCGAATAGCTATAAAATATTCGAACGGTCCAAGACCAACCGGAAACGGATAAACGCGCATTCGTTGGACGGCGCGCAATTCACGCAACACCGTCGTGTATCCTTGGGGACGAAGGAATCCCATATTCATAGAGTCTAAGGTGGGACTATGCTTCTTGAGCGTCTACGAACAATGACGATGCGTCTGAACGCATTGTTGCGTCGCGGTAGTGCAAGGCAACGTCCCGCGAGAACTGATAAAAGTAATGCACCAGAATGCATCGACTACACGCGCCTCCCTCGATTCTTGCCCCATTGTTATGCGCATAACGACGGTTGCCTGGTTGCAATACTTCATTGTGCCGAGTATTCAAAACCAGCGCCGGAGATTCGCGAAAATAGATCTCTGAACAGGCTGAATGTAACCAGCGTTGATCTTTTAACTGGCCGAGCGAGGAACTGAATACGCCGCACGGAGATAGGACTTTTTCAATCAGTCCCATGCAACAGAGTGAATCAGACGCGACAGTAATTCAGTAATGTTCTCGTTGTTTTTACCTCGGAATGGGAATCGGGAAATTGCACCCCTCGAAATCGGTTTAAGGGAGTATTTTTTACAACTTCCATGATAAATTGTAAATGTCGTTGGAAGTTTATGCAGGGTGTCTGAAAATCTACTTGACCAATTGGCTTAAAATTTTAAGTGCACATAACTATAACTTGTACTAGAACAGGGTTTCTCAAACTTTTTTTCTTGTGGAACCCTTAAGGGGCCTTTCTACTTTGTGGGATTTAAAAAATCGAATTTTTTTGCATTTTCTTTTAGTATATAGTCTCGAAAATATATCTACCAAATATTAAATTGAAATTCTGAAAACTAACGAAGTTATAGTCTGCTGTAATGTATCACGCGCAGGTATAACTGGACGTAAAACTTTAAGTTGCCTTTCTACTTTGTGCAATTAAAACAATTGAATTTTTTTTGCATTTTCTTTTAGTATGTAGTCTCGAACATATATTTACCAAATATTAATATAACAACTGGACGTGAAACTTTAACACTAGACTTACGGGCATTGATCGCACGTATATTTATTGATACCTTTCATGTTGACGATTGCCTTACAATACGATTTTTCTTTTAATTAGAATATGTATTCATGCCATTGCATCAGTCAAATTCAACATAAGTTGTTAAAAAATTTTTTGGCACTGTGTATGTGATAACAAAAAAACTACTTAAGATATCAACATGAAATTTATACAGTATCTATAGAACTGATCTCCCTATAGAATGAACTAGTATAATTGCGATGTATATTATACTTTTTCTTTCATTAACGAAAAAGCAACCGAATATATGAAAATATTCAGTATTTTTTCGTAAAATAGTTGCAATTTTGCCATTTTTTGTTCTTTTGAAAAGATCCTAGTTCATGCTATAACTCATCTATATTAAGAATATCGTTGGTTTTTGGATTTCGAAAAACTTGTTCGCAAGATATCACATACGCAGTCGGGCGCCGTTGATCAACAAAAACAACGCAATCAATAGATATTATGTGTTGCAACAATTCGTAAATATAGCTAAATATATAATAAATGTATCTAGAAAACCCGGAATTAATCGCTCTTTAATAGTCCGCAAAAAAGAACACAAAAAAACATATATTTTTCGTGCTTACAAGATAGAATGGCCCCTTAAGAACCGTTCAGATGCCTATGCATTTCTGGCAGCCTGTCACTTTCTTAGAACAGTTCGGATCTAATGAGCTGATCTTAGAATAAACGACTTTGAAACGACAAATAAACGATAATGCCTTTGGCAAGAAAATTTGACTGAATTTGTTAATAGTTTAATTTGTTTAATAGTTTAATTTAATAATTTTGTTGAAGTAAAGTAATCGGTTTGAATCGCCCGCCTCAGTGAGTGTGGTGTGGTGTGGAAGGACGAATGAGAAGTGGGGCGCGACGGTAGCGCCCAGTGTGTTGGCTTAACCCCCTTAACGCTCATGTCCGAGTCTGACTGCTTTGAAAAATGATATTTGTTTAATGGATCGATTTAAGGGATGACAATATCGGTTTTCCTTGAAATTATAAGTTAGATACAACATTGTAATTAACAAAAATCGCATTTTGATACAGTTTAGAAACAAGTCCAATAAAGAAAACTGATCATTGTTGGTCCACCCGAAAAATGTGAGCGTTAAGGGGTTAAGCAGAGCGAGAACGTGCAAGCATGTGCAAGTAAAAACCAAGAGTTAGTTTCTTAAAAATATTAAAAGACAAAAGAGTGAATAAGTATAGTGCAGTTTAAAAATAGGTTAAGCTTAGATAATAAGAAACCTAAGCAGACGTATTAATTAAAATTTAACCAGTGCAATACGGTGACTTCAGTTCCCGACCTCTTGTTAAAATAACAAGTTTGTTAATATTTTAATGCGTTTCTATGAAAATATTGCAGCTGATCTTATTTTAATGTTATATCACAACTTGTCTCGCGGAACCCCAAAATTATTTCATGGAACCCACTTTGGGAAACACTGTACTAGAATCAACCTAAAATTTATATTTTTTATCTTTCTTTAAACTCCTGAAATTTAAAAAAAAAATCATAAAATACTCTGTTAATTTAAAGATACACGATTATTATGTTATTTTGCTCACCCTCGGAATGACGACTAAACGCACGCTGCAGTTCCTCTTCCTCCTCATCTTCTTCTTCGTCTTCTATAACGAGAAATTTGTCCGATTAAATGATTAATTATAAACCAACCATCACACCGCCCGCATATTTTATTTCTTACTCTAAAAGCTATTGTTAATGGGATAGCAATAGGAGATGCACTGTGGTCGAAAGTATAGGCACATATAACGATAACGAGCAGAAGACTTTATTATATAAGGTGAAACACATAATGATCTGTTACGTTGTGTCTGGACGCGAACTCGCGACGATCTGATGAACGCACGGCACGGTGCTCGTCTTAAGAACGGTTCGATTTAACAATCGACGATCGCCCTAACCGAAAGGGCGATTGCACGCCGTGTGCAAACCACGCCGTGTGCAAACCACGACGTGTGCAACGCTGAACCGTTAACGGATTCCGTCTCGTGATATACCACGAACGGTTTCCTGTGACAACAAAAGCTAAAGTATAAACAAAATATCATTTATGTCGAAAATTGGCAAAAGAATACTTTAGTCTTATTTTTATTTTATTATCTCGCACACGTTATGCATGTAAATAATTCACATTATCAACTATACTAGATATGCATAGACTCGAGAAAGGAAAAGTTAGACGAAAGGAATCAAAATTCTATGCAGGGAAAATATGTGTAACTTTGTACATCATAATATACAAATATGTATATAAAGAAATTGTATCATTTATAACAGTCATTCGTAACAAATTCAAAGAAATTTCTTCGAGATTTAATAATAAGAAACTTCCATTAAAATGAAAATTAATTTTTATTTAATAATTTTGTGAATAAGTGTTATTTTTATTCCATTTATTTACCTTATACGAGAACACTTTCGACAACAGTAATACAGTTAAACCCAAAAACAAGATCGAAACAAAGAATTTTGCAAGTCTGCATGACTTTATTACGATGGTCTAAAAAGTCTAAACAAATACAATTCGATAAAACGGTATATTAACTAATATTCGAATAGAACGATAAATAGTGTTACTTTGAATTTATCCGGTTAAATATGTCGTGAAGTTCTCAAAGGAACGAGAGAAAGAAAATGAAACGAAAACGCGCGTTATCTGGCAGATTTACGCAAATATTTAATAACGGGGAAAGTATTTAGTAACACTCACGCTTAATTCCCGTTGTCCCATTATCCTGCTCCGCTACCTCCAGGACATTCTGTTCGTTCCCGTCGTCCCACTCCTCGTCTCCTGCGGAGGGACAAGCAACCATTAATTCCGTTTCATTTGCATATCACCAGCGAAGAATAAAATCTGTATTTGCCAAGAAAAACAACCAACGAAATTGTAATTCCACTCTCGTGCGCGCGTCGCATTCCACGGAATATGAATATGGATTTCGAGTAGCACAAAGACACACCGAAACGATTAATAATAAGCTTTTTGCGGACTGTCGGCCAGCTACTAAACAAGATTTACGTATCAAGCGTAACGACACGAGTAACTCGGACGCAGTACGTTTTAGAAGCACAATACAGACTGCTGCGAATAAAATGTAACCATAATTTCACGGATAAATTGACAAATATTTAATTAAAAATGTGATAAAATTATGGGAGATTTGTCTAATGGGGTGAACAAACCAAGGATTTGTCAAGCGAAGTAATAATAAATATAAATAAAGAGTTTGCTTAATACTGTAATATTTTCTCGAAACAGGAAACAATTGAATTTCTTGCAAATTCTACTGAATTTGAAATATAGCTGAGGTACCATTTAGGCAATTTTATTTCTTTAATTTTCCCTTAGTTGTCTGCAAGAAATAAAGCTTGAGATAAATAAGGGATTATTTGAATAATTTAATATTCGAATATTTAAGTACTGTCGATATTTAATATGCAAATATATAAGAAATATTTAGGGGTTGAGGGGTTATATTTAGGGATTGAGGCAACCCTCTATAAAGCTCCCATTTTATTAATTCTAATAATAAAAATATGAATCATGTCACGAATACTAAAAATTGAATACGAAAATATTTCTTTCTTTGACAAAATTAGTTACGTCATCCCTCGCTGAAAGTGTATTTCCTACGATTAAAAGACTTCATTTAATATATAATATAAAATTTGAATTCTGGCAAAGAAAAAGAAATACATATTAGTACATTTACAGTTTTTGTCTATAAGCAATTCATTTTTGCAATAATAGCTTATATTCTACGGTTAACAAAACAGAAACTATTTGTATGTTGAAAAAAAAAATTTCGATCTTGATCTTTTGGAGAAGAAATCATAGTAAATAACACTTTGGCGTTACAAAGAAATCAAAGTATTTAATTTATCTCGCTCATACAATATGGCGGTTTGTCGCGGTCCTGCTCGAAACACTGGTCAGTTCGCAGTAACGACGCAAACGAGAAGCGACGCGAACACGTAAATGGGTTAATCAGTCGAGCGGGGTGACGAATGTTCTCGTTTAGGTAAAAGCTGAAGTCGGTTGAAAAAAAAAAAAAATCCGCATTCGACACCTTCGAAAACGCTCGCAATCGGCCGGAGTGGCAAGTTCGTCGAGCGTGCTTGCGTCAGGGTGAAAGAGAGAGAGAGAGAGAGAAAAGAGGGGCGAAAAGAAGATAGAACGATAGCAGAGAAGGCGTGGCGGGGGTAGGCGGTTGCATGCAAAATAACAAACGACCTGTTGGCCACGTGGACAGGGATGTAATTTTTTAAGTTTAATTTTGTGGCCCCACGTGACAAACGGATGGCTCTACTATACGGCAGCCACGTCAGTGCGCTCTGCGGGTATATTTCATTCCGAAAACACGGTTCGTCGTTTCGCGTTTTGATGATATACAGCAACGAACGGTTCCTCGGCGTGGTAACTTGTGTCACGATCTGACACGCGACAATGCTTTACGATCGTGAGTCCTATGGACGCCATTTAAAAACTTCTCGCAACGCCAGTGTGCTCTTTATTAAATTGCATTTTCATTAGGACCAACTATTGCTATTACAACTTTAAACGTGGCAGTTACTGAAACACGAATAATTTCTTTAACGATATTTTATGGGATGAAATGCTGTTAAATGTCGATGTTGAGTCCGCTACAATCTTGTTTTACAATAGTATCTACACTGCTATAGAAGCATATGTTCCAAAAGTTTGCTCGAATAATAAGAAATTAGTCCATTGCAAGCTTAAGAGAACCGTATCGTATAATGTTTAAAGAACCAACTATTGCTATTACAACTTTAAACGTGGCAGTCATTGAAACACGAATAATTTCTTTGACGATATTTTATGGGATGAAATGCTGTTAAATGTCGATGTTGAGTCCGCTACAATCTTGTTTTACGATAGTATCTACACTGCTATAGAAGTGTAGCGTCGCCTCCTATGCTCGCCACCAGAGGGGTCGTTCTCTCACAAGCGCTCGACCGACCCCTCGGTTGCTATATGTATGTATACATTCCTCGACTGACTTCCCAATGTCCCCCATCCTCACGTATGGCGCACCAGTATGGTGCACCGCAGCAACAACACACATATCCAAAATCCAAATTGTACAAAACAAATACCTCCGGATCATACTATACAAAACGCGCTACCACACAATCGCTTCGTTGCATGAGGAAGCAAAAATCGAGTATATCCGCGAGCATATCATGAAGCTGACCACCGCAGTTCAAGTTACTAACTTCCAGCATCCAAACCCCCTAGTAGTGACACTAGGAAATTACAACCCCGAAAATATACCATTAAAGATACGAATACAAACTCCCAGACTAATCATCAACTAATCATCCACAGCACCACACTCATCGCATGATGCATGTACACGAGGTTTTTGAAACTTTTCCCTCGAGCTCTAACCGAAGGAAAACCACAATAACACATCTACATAAACATTACAGACACTAACAAACACTTTAAGTGCAGGTTATAGGGCTCCAGCCCAGGGTACTGCAGAAGAATCAGAAGAACGAGATAAAAAAAAAAAAGAAACTGAAAACTTCCCAATGTCCCAATCGTCTAAGGCAGGGCCTGCTAGGGCCTTTCTGATGAATCCGCTAGCAGGCTCGGACGAAATGTGCCCCCTCCTTTCCTTTTCAGTCCTCCTACGATTTTCACGAGTTCCTAACGGCAGCGAAGCAGCGCCACAGAAGCATATGTTCCAAAAGTTTGCTCAAATAATAAGAAATTAGTCCATTGCAAGCTTAAGAAAACCGCCTCGTATAATGTTTACTTTACACTTTCCTGCTCTACGTGATAAATGTAAAAATCTTGCCAAAGAGTGCTACCATAAATATGTTTGCGAAATTGAAATGAACATGCAACATAATATTAACAAGGAGAGGGCCAGACCTTTCAGATTACCGATTTTGTTGAAACTTTGCACACTTGTGAATTTAGTTATCCGATTTAAGAATATATAACATTATAGAGGCAGATACTCAGTAATTTTTAAAATATTAATGATTAATGATTCATTATTATCTACAAATACAGTTTAAATCTATGGAACGTTGATTATCACTATGGAGCGTGGTGGTAAAATCAGAGACTCCCACCTAGTAGGTCCAAGTTCGATTCCTGATAACTACATAAGTTCTTTTTCTGAATATACGTCAATTTTAATATTGAAATTCGCACACAAGAATGCTAATTAACTTCTAAATAAGATTTAACAATGACCTGCAGTGGGAAAAACCTATCCACTATCATTGAACTCTTACAGAAAAGCATCAACGACCTTCTGTCATGGTCCGAAAAATCAGGACTTAAATTCTCCCCCCAAAATACATCATCTTTTCTAGAAAACGCAAGACAACCATACTTCCCCCTAATCTCTACATACGAAATATTGAAATCGAAAAAGTAGACAGCATTAGAATACTTGGACTCATCCATCTTTGACCATAAGCTAACGTGGGGGCCACATATGAATTATCTAAAAACCACATGCACAAAAAAAATGAACATCATAAAAGCTTTAGCAAATTATAGCTGGGGAGCTGATCAACAGATCATTATAGAAACCTACCAGGCTTTAACCAGATCCAAACTCGACTACGGGTCAATAGTTTATAACTCGGCTAAACCCAATACCCTAAAAACAATCGACTCAATACATAACGCCGCTCTAAGAACAGTCACTGGAAGCTACAGGACTAGTCCAATAAACAGCATATTGTTTGAATCAAAAGAACCATCATTAGAACAAAGAAGGAAATACCTAAGTATAAAATACGCAGTCAAAGTATCCTCCACTCCAAATAATCCCATATACAACAACATATTTATAAACAGATATACCCACCTACAAGCTAAAAAACCCAAGCTTCCAAATCCAATGTATGGTAGAATTGCCAAATACGATAGTTTCACTGTGATTATATCAACACCAACTATTTCATGTAAATTCAGAAAATCAGCTCCCTGGATCTTAAAAACACCAGAAACCAACGTCGACCTCGCAAAGCTTCCCAAAGACCAAATAAGCAGCACAGAACACAGATTTCACTTCGAACAACTATACAACAAATACCCAAATCACCAAATGATATACACTTGTGCATCAAAGACTGACCAGGGAGTAGGAGCTGCCATCGTCTGCGACACCACGACAAAAAAATTCCACCTTCCAATAACCTCATCCATTTTTACAACAGAAGCCTGGACAGTTCTTGAAGCTCTTAACCACATACGAAACCACAATGTCCAACCTTCCACCATTTTCACCGACTCAATGAGTGTACTCATGGCAATAGCAAATGTAAATCGTGAAACCAAACATGAAGTCATTCTAAACATCCATTATACCTATACGGACCTGATCAATAACGGTAAACAAATATCCCTAGCCTGGGTTCCATCTCACCAAGGCATCAAAGGAAACGAGGCAGCCGACACAGCCGCCAAAGAAGCAACAGCACTTCCACCAGATAACATCGGCAGACAAGTCTCGCAGCAAGACCTCATCGTCACATTACGCCATATCGAACAACAAACATGGAATAAAATATGGACCACATCTAAGAAAATAAAAACACACGACGTTACCCAAGACTTCTTCCAAATAATGCCTAGGAACAATATGAGAAGGAAAGACAGGATGATCATGGCCAGGCCTAGAACTGGTCACTGCAAACTCACACATGAATACCTAATTAAGAAAACAGAACCACCAATATGCACTGTCTGCATGAAAATCATTACAACCAACCACCTCCTATTCGAATGCAGAAGAT